ATGTTTCGCTGATGCTGTCCCGGTGTCACCGCTGTTGTGTACCCGTGAATACGACACATCGGCAGAGCGGGGTCGGCGTTGATGGTGATCTGAAGGCTGTTGCTGCTGGCTGTAATCTCTGGACCGCCGGTAAGCGTGGCCGACGGCACTATCGTGCTCTCTTGATACTGCTGGCCGGCCATCGAGGGGCGGTGCTGCTAGAGCCAAATCCCCGTCGTCGTGCCGCCGCCGATTGAGGATATTTCCTGGCTGCCGCGGCGGCAAGACATTGGACCCGCTATGGTTATGAGACGTATGGGCTGAGCGAAAACGCCGTTGCTGGAACGGCTCCTGCTGCTGTCTTTGCTGCTGCCTAGCGAGTTCCTTGACTGGCACCAGCCTGTGCTCGGGCAGATGCGGCGCAAAGAATGGGTGCTCCAGCAGCCTCTGGGTAGTAATCCGCTGCCGCGGATCAATACGCAGCATTGCACGCACCAGATTCCTTGCCTCATGCGAGAGGTCGTACGGCAGCCGGATCTGCCTCACCGCATCCTCTGTAATCCGCGACACATTGCGAAATGGCTGCGCTCCGGTCAACAGCGTAACAAACAGGCACCCGAGCGCCCACACATCCGACTCGACGCCGTAGGGCTGGCGGGCCAGGATCTCGGGCGAAATGTAGCTCGGGGTGCCACACATGGTGGTGGTCTCTGTGCGGTCGTTGCGGAGCCATGTGGCCAGGCCGAAGTCGCCAATCCGGACATCCAGGGTTTCTGTCAGCAAGATGTTGGCCAACTTCAGATCGCGGTGCAGGATTTGGCGCCCATGCAGGTATGCAATGCCCCGGCACACCTGCTGCATCACATGGCGGGCCTCAGCTTCGCTTAATGGCGCCAACTCCGTGGTCAGGGACTTGTCGAGCTTGCCCCGATTGCGCAAGTACCGCCATATGTCGCCATGCGAGCACAGCTCCATGACTATGTAGACATACTGTGAGTCCTCGAACGAGTCGTACAACCGCACAATGTGTGTGTGGCCCAGTGTCTCGTGGATCGCGACCTCTGCTGCCAGTCGCTGCTCCGCCGCGCGGCTCTTTAGCGCTGCCTTGTCGATTTTCTTTATTGCCACCTCACCGCCTGAACTCCTTGCTAGTGGCAAGTGCCGCGCATTGCGGGCCAGCACAGCTCGGTAGACTTTGCCAAACCCACCGCGCCCAATGCGCTCCATGAATGTGAAATCGTGTGCTGTCAGCTCGTCCGCATTGCCGTCCCTGTGGTTCTGCGAGACGCCCTGCGTGTGCAGTTTAGCGAAATCCGTCGAGAGCGGCCGATACACCGGGTGCTGTCGAGCGTACATTTTGCAGAAATGCAGTGAAAAATAGAAATGAGTATAAGCAGGATAGCGCTTTGAGACTCAAGGAGCGAAGAAAACCGCCGCTTGCTTTCAGCTAGCCACACTAAATTTTTTTTGGAGTAAACAAAACTCGCCCTCCCACTTGCTGCGAGGGGCTAGATTTATTCCCTATCCAGATTTACTTCTTGGCCCTGCCCATGCCCGAGCGGAAGTAGACGACATCACCGTCCTCGCACACAGCGTCCTTGCCGCGGATGTACAGCTTGCCCTGCGCCTTGAGGTCGGGCTCGGAGCCGGCGGCCTTGAGCTCGTCAAACTTCATCACGTCGACCTGGATCAGCGAATCGGCGATCTCGTTATGGATCGAGCGCGCAGCCTCAGTCATCTTGGCGCCCTTGCGGCACGTCCACGCACGCACCTCAGTGCCATGGCCGGCGGTGAAGAAGTGCTGCAGGTCCAGCGAGTGGTAGCCAGTGGTGATGATCTTGGGGAACGCCGACGCGCCCTTGGTCTCGGCCAGGTACGCGTCGCGGTCCGCACCCTCCATGGCCTGCAGCGTCGTCTCGAACACACCCGAGAACGGAATCAGCATGTCTCCAGGGTTGTTCTCGTCAATCCACGCCTTGATCTTGGGCAGGAACTTGTTCTTGCGCCGCACATAGTCCTTCTCGCTCACATTCGCCAGGTAGATCACCGGCTTCGCCGTCAGCAGCATCTGCTGGTTGATCACGTAGATTTCCTTGTTCGTCCAGTCGCCCTTGCGCACGTCCTTGCCCGACTTCAGGAACTCCAGCACCTTCTCCAGCGTCGCAAACTCCTCCTTCTTCTTCTTGTCGTCCGCGTTGCCGCCGTTGCCCAGCCGCGCAATGTTCTTTGCCTGCTCGTCAATCGTCTTGCTCAGGAACGCAATGTCCTTCATGCGCAGCTCGCTGTGGATGATGTCCAGATCACGTCCCGGATCAACCTCGCCCTCGACGTGCACGACGTCGGGGTCATTGAACGCACGCACAACGTGGAAGATACCGTCCACCGCACGCACGTGCGACAGGAACGCATTGCCCAGGCCAGCTCCCTCCGACGCGCCCTTCACCAGACCTGCAATGTCGATGATCGTCAGGTACGCAGGCACCTTCGACGAGGGCTTGTAGTGCTCGCACAGCCAGTCAAACCGCTCGTCCGGGACTGCAACACGCGACTCCTCGGGGTCAATCGTGCAGAACGGGTAGTTCTCAGCTGCGACTGCCGAGCTGGTGATGGCATTGAAGAACGTCGATTTGCCCACATTCGGCAGACCAACAACACCAATCTTCAGATTGTTGCCGGGCCGTCCCAGCCGGGCCTTATCCTCAGTCACTTGCTTCTTGGGAGGCATTTTCTTTTTCAAAGATACCGCAGTCGTGGAAAATGCTAGGCGCGAAGTGTATATAACCAAAGGTGTTTTGGAAAGAGTCAAGAGACGAGTCGCAACGAAGCTGGGCTGGAACAACATAATGTGTTATTTTTTCTTTGGGTTGGAGAGCACAGGCGTGGGTGGCTTCTATGATACGGTCTCAGCAAAGCGAACCTGTGCCTTCCCCCAAAATCCAGGATCAGCGCAAAAAATTTTGCTTCTGACGTAGCTGATTATCGCGGTGATTGGATGCTTCGCATCACGTGAACACACCGTTTGCTGCGTCCGGTGGTCCGGCATACTAGAAACTTCCTGCTTGCGCCGGCGACTTTTCTGGGCTGCAACCACAATGGATGACTGGCCCGACATACCAGACATGCTTATCGATGTCGCAATGTATATGATGCGGTTTTAAAGCACAGATTCATAGCGGTTTGTTTGTGATCTCCATTTATACCTTAGAAGAGTGCTACAGCAACAGCAATAGCGACTGCAGTGCCGAATGAGCCAGTCAAGACATTGGTGGCGCCACTGGTACTTTTTGAAGCCACTGAGGCGGATGACTTGGCAGTACCTGAAGCTGACGAGCCTGATGATGGAGATTTACCTGTTGGCGAGGCACTTGTTGGCGAGGCACTTGTTGGCGAGGCACTTGTTGGCGAGGCACTTGTTGGCGAGGCACTTGTTGGTGAGGCAGAGACAGATAGAGTCAGCCTGGATGAGGCAATTGTCATGGATTTGCTGGCACCAGACGTTGGCGATGCAGCTGATGGAGATAAGGTTGCAGATGAAGTTTCACTTCCACCTGTAGGTATGGGCTTGCCGCTAGCAGTGAACCCAGTAATGCCAGCACGCGACAAGATGTTGTTCACGATCTCTGGCGGAAATGCAGTTGCGACCTGCTGGACAAGATCACTGTCGAAGGCTTGGGTGATCTTGGTACCACCGATGACTGAAGTGGCAACCGCATACAGTTTCGGATCTGCTGCCTGAAGCATAGGCAAGCTGTCGTCGATGAGATCCCCCAGATCATTCCAGTGAGCAGATATCTCAGCGAGCGGGTCCACAGTGGCCAAAGCAACAGAAACCAGGGCAGCAACAGCAGCAATCTTCATGGTTGATGGAGTGAAAGGAAACCTAAAGACCTTGGAAGAGATGTGGTTGGCGGAACGCAGTGCTTTATTAGGTGTGAAGGTGTAGCGAATGCCCAGAACAATGCGTAGCTGCGCCCGGTTTATATACTGGCAGAAACATCTTGTCCACGACGGAACGAAATCAATCCACTTCCAATAGCCCCGCTCTGGAAACGACAGAATGTGAATGGTAAAGCTGACCACGGTTATTTTTACATTGTCAATACGCCACCCACTATGCTATTTCTATAACCTGTACATGTAGTTGTTTCCAGAGATATCATTCAATGGCCCGGGGTACTTTTGTAGCTCTACAAAGACGCTGCACTTTTCTTTTGTGATGCTGCTGGACAGATCTGTCGGCTGGGGGTGCATAGCTGTCGATCAAGTTTCCTGATGTCTAAAACAGGTCTCTGGGCTTTCCATTTTCAATATGTATGAATCACATGTGCTCATAAGGGGTTGTGGACAGCAGCATTACATACTCGGCTGACTCGACTCGACACAATTTGGCGCGGCTCGCTCGCGGACAAATGAGATTATCTTCGAAGTGTGTGGAAGATTATCAGGCAAATGTGCCAATCGTTTCTCGGTGTGATGCGCTTACTTTTTCTGCACCACACATTGCACAATTCCACTTGCTGGCACCGTTTCTTTCCCAGTGGCCGGCAGTAGGTGGGATTCTGGGAATAGTCTTGTGGTACTGGATGGGGCTGCCACTGCCCGGGGCTGAATGCGTCCTGGCGCGCCTCGTTCCACGGCAAATAATACACGGGGACAGGCTACCAAAAATAGGCGTCTATAGTGGGAAGAGCAGAGGTGCCCGTGAGCACAAGACCACCACCAGCTGTCATCTATGTACTCAATTGCTCAATGTGCGAACGTGAAACTCGACTGGGATGCGCGAATGACGTACCTCCCTGCTGATGCAATTGAGCTGCGGCTGGATGGAATCCACTTTACGGAATGCAAACCTGCTGCAACTGAGCGTGCGCAGGCACAATGTGTAGTCGGATGTGCTGCTGCTCCCCGAATTCCACCCTGCCCCCAAACTAGCATGTCCGGACGCGTTCCAGGCACAAACAATGAATGCCAGCTAATGCCCTCAATGGAAATAGTCATTCGACATGTATGCGGGAAGCTTGTGTTTTTTGTAAGGTTTATCGGATATCAGGTGGAAACAAACGCAAATTAGGAAATAAGACTCATGCGGGCTTAGAAGAGGGCAGCGGCGGCAACAATGGCGGCACCGAACGAGCCAGCCAGAACCTTGGCAGCGCCGTTGCTCTCGGTCTTCTTGTCAGTAGCCGACGACTTGTCAGCACCCGACGAGGACTTGGGGGCACCCGACGGCTTGGCACCCGAAACAGCAGACTCCTCATCAGCCTTGGAGCTCGGCTCTGAGGCGTGAGAAGCGGACGACTTGGGAGCCGAGGTGGGGGCAGCTGACGGCTTGTCCTCAGCCGACGAGGACGGGGCGGAGGTGGGGCGGCCGACGGCTTGTCCTCAGCCGACGAGGAGTGGGCGGCGGTGGGCTCGGGGCTCGGCTCGGCGGCGGTGGGCTTGGAGTCACCAGTGGGCAGGGGCTTGCCGTCGGCGGTGACGCCGGTGATGCCAGCGCGCTCAAACAGGTTGTTAAGAATGGCGGGGGGGATGCCGGTGGCGACCTGCTGGATGAGATCCGTGTTGAAGGCCTGGGTGATCTTGGTGCCGCCGATGATCGAGGTGGCAACGGCGTACAGCTGGGCGTTACCGGCCTGGAGAAGGGGCAGGTCCCCCTCAATAAGGCTGGTCAGCTGATCCCAGTGCTCAGAGATGATGGCGAACGGGTCGGCGGCGGCGGCGACGGTGGCAAGAGCGGCGATGGCGGCAATCTTCATTTTGAATGTGTTGTGTTTGTTCGTAAAACGAAAGAGAGTATTAGATGTGCGGACGAGATATCCTAACGGTACAAAGGGGAGAGAGGGAAAGAAAAAGATTCTTAAGCAGTGGAACTTGGTGCATCCGGCAGTGGCCTCCTTCCCGGTTCTGTTTTATACTGCTGTCGGCCCGACATGCCAACAAGGGGCGAATCTGCCCTTAGTGTACGAGACTGAGGGATGAGGCGGCTCCAGGCAGCAGCAGTCATTTCTGCCAATAAAGAGGGACGAGGGGGGTGTTGCGAACCTCAATGTCGTCTTCACTTGCACTAGTGGCAAAGGAGAAGAGAAAGGAGGGATTTTCAATATGCCCAATCACATTCGTAGCAAATCTGCAAACATTATCGCAATTTCTGTTGACGCGGCGCTCCCATTGTGCAGCCAGCATTTTCCACTAAAACCGTGGGTGTTTGCGGCCCACAGCCGCCTGTCTGGCAATGGCGTGGAGTGTCAGCAAAAGCATTGGTTTGCGCCCTGTCGCCGCTGTCAAAATGCCGTTTTTCCGTGGGCATATTGGCCAGTTGGCTGTCATATTGAACACAATTGGCCCAGGAGCTGACTAGGACAGGAGCAAAACACACGCCTCTCACTGCCGGCCCTTCTAGGGACACAGGACGGGCAGGGCCAGCAGACGGGGATTGGGCAGAATTTACGGGATCATCTTTAGCCTGAAGCTGGTCGCTTCGCTCAATCCACATTTCCGAGTGGGTTCTCAGTGTATCGCATGCTGCCCGTCGTTGACGCCCAAGGGATGGGACCACTGGCCAGGGCGAATTGCACTGCTAGTCATATGTGGCTGCAGAAGGCGTAGAATGGGTTGTCTCTGAAAAATGGGCTGCTCCACACGCCGCAGCCTTCCAATCTAAACAGACGCTGCTGTCCGACACGGCATAGGTTTTTTATGTTTTTGGTCATCCCCACACAGCCTGTAGCAAACCGCCATTAACCAGCACCTCGCCGCGAAAGAGGATTTGGGTATTCCGCTTGTGCGACGTACAGTGGTAGTGAGCAGCAATTCTGACTGTTTTCTGTGTTGCTAGCAAATGGCCAGTCCGCAAGAATGGTCCCACCAGCTGTATTTTTTCCTGCGCAGACCGCCTGGAGGCGGAAGCCACGCGCCCTTTACAGCCAGCCCGCAGGCAGGCGGGCCCAACCGTTTGCGTCGTGCATGCCGAATGGTCCGCACATTCATTGGAAGGGGGCAGTCGTAGAGGAGCCTTGCTTTTTGCTGGTCAGCAGCCAGCTCAGCTGCAGGATGGAGGGAAATGGACAGAGACAGAGAGCACGGGATTTGCCGCCTTGACGGGTATCTACAAGGATTCTTTCATGTGCCAGTGTCAGGCTGCTTCGCTTATTCCGCTCTGTCCTTCTGGCCGAGCCAGATGGAAACCGGTTGTCATTTCAGAGGAAATGCGTCTCATTATTTTATTGCAGCGAGTGTGTGTCATATGAGCTGCAGTGGGTGTTTGCCAGCGCGTAAAGGGCTCGTGATGGTGCAGACGAGCAAAAGGAGCAACCGCTGCTTCCCAACTGGTTCTCGGACTCTGCGCCCCGCCGAATACTTTGTACAATCACTCAGCGATCTCCCTACACAAGAGCGTCCGTGCATCACCAGCTTCTTTTTTTTGCCCACATCGGCAAATCCATGGTATGTTTCGTTTTTGCCTGTTTTGGCGGAAAATGGGGATTATGCTGTATGGAACCTGGCCCCAAGCAGAATGCAAGTGGTGTACGCACCTGCCATGTATAATCATTTTCCCAGAGCCTGGTGGGGAGCTGGTTTGGGAATCCAAAGTGGTCCACTTGCTCCACGCAGTAACCCCGGGTACGTTGGGAAGAGGCAGACTGGCAGCCAGCCAGACTACCCATGTCAGGATAGCAGCTCAGCACCAGACATTTTTGGGGAGGAGGGCTGAGGGACGAGAGGGAGGCAAGGCTACTGCTGCCCGGCAATCAGGTGATGCGATTGTGTTGGAGCAGGTGACGACGTGTTGGGCATGGTATGCACCCGCTGGAATTGCGAGCACATCATGCCGCTGAGCGTGAATGCAGCAGTCCCGGACCGGCATCGTGGAGGAACAGATCGAGATAGACGCTGCGGTGTGCTCGGAGCACTTGTAGCCTCCGATGTCTTGGCTTTCCACATGTCGCTGGCCACAGTTATGCGCACCGCCATCGATGTGTGTCCTGCAGATATGCAAATGCACGAGGAGAGCCAGATGAGATCCACACGTAGCGATGCCCTCACATGTATCTGCTTGGCGCAATGGCTTGCAGCGCGCAGGAGGCAAAGCGTATGGTGATTCGGTGATTGGAGCGAAAATGTTGCACAGGGAAGGCCAAGGGGGTGGTGGCACCCCACTGGTGACCATCCCCTCACTTTTCTCCATTCGACTAGCTGCAGCGGCTGCCGCTTGCTGCCGCAGCGTGCTGAGGGAATGCGGAAAAGGAAAAGGGGTGGCCAAAAGTAGTGCGGATCCCACTCTTGGTGTATTCTTGGACTTGCACAGCAGATTCGCTTGTCCCGAACGCTTCATGGATGTCCAAGTAACGTGCAATTCACCCTCAGCCTCCACTGAGCCGAGCTAGGCAGCGCAGAGTGGGAATGCAAAAGGGGGCAGTGGGAAACTGCTGTATTACGAGCGATCGTCGAAAGAGTACATTCACCCACGATGTATTTGGGCCTCCCCACCCGGCACGCAAACAAAAACGTAAGTTTGCAGTAGGACGCTGGACCAGGGGGAGGGACTAATGTGGTGCCAGGCGAGCTGCCTGGCTGGCTCATCGCTACATCATGATGGACCGCATCGCAGCGATAAAAACCGATAGTCGGGACCACGCTAGGCGGTCCACTCACCCTGTCTCTCATTGCTCTTGCATAGATTTTTCTCCCCTCTTTTCTGCTGCTCGCACTCGTGTCATTTGCTAGTCTATTGCCGCCCACTGACGTATATTTTCAACCGCGCCCAGCATACTGCGTCGTCACGAGCCAATATCTCTTTTTGTTACAAACGACCCACGCGCTCCTCGCCGCCTACCGAAATAAGACTCGAAACACCACAAGGTACGTGCAAAAGCAGCTTCCGTGGTTGCCCAGAGCGCAGAAAGACCCATTTTTGGTCACTGAATCACGTTCATGGAAGGAATTTCTTACCCGATCCACTTCGACGGCATATTTCACATGCTATATGTGCCTCCGCGTGGGGAGAAGAGGGGAGCTGTGCTTTTCTGTCCTACGGCCGTGTGATCGACTTTGCCACCAAATATGCCGAGACTGCTTGTGCTGCTGTGTATGCCTGGACATGTGCCAAAGTGCGTGCGGGCGGAGAAGGACCTGCCAGTGAAGTCGAGTGTCTAGTGACCGCAAGGTGTGTCTGTGTGTGCGCCCCTAAATCTGGACAAAAATGCGCAAAGGACATGGGTCGGAAAGCGATTGACAGTGCTCGGCACACCAAGCAACGGTCGGTCACTGCCCCCCGACCTCTTACCCCCACCTCCACCGGTTGCCCAAAACTCCTGGGTTCTACTGCCGCCTGCAATCTTTTTGGTCGGTTGGCGGAAAATCGCCTTGCAAAATTTGTTGGAGATGCAGTAGAAGAAAAAACGGCGATTCCTCTGGTGACCAATGCTATGCAGGCTGACTTTCTCCCAACCTTTCCCTTCCCGCCTGCGCAACCTGTATGCCCACCTCCTGTCGCCGTGCTCAGGGGCAAGGGCGTCCGTGGGGCATGATCACATATATAAGAACACAATCCCTGTCGTCCGTCCATCTCCAAAGTGGCTCATTGTCAAAAAAAAATTTCCCTTCACTTTTTTGTTGCAGACTATCCTAAAGGCGGGCTACTCTTCTCCTTTCCTTTCCAGTTTGCTCCGTTATCTCAGATATTTTTGACACCTTTATTGACTTCCTCCCTATTTCGCTCTCCTTAACGTTTACTTAGACGAATTCTTCTGCCATGTCGGACTCTCCGCAGCGCTCCGTTGAGGCCGCTCAGTCGACGGACGAGAAGAACCTGGGCATTGTCGAGTACGACGTGCCGCGCGTCTCCCGTCCCAAGCTCATTCTCTTTGCCATTGGGTAAGTTGCATATAATTTTCGGCTCATATTGCGCTGCGACTAAGCCATTCTGCCTACTGCTTCGTGATTGTGGCGCCTCCAGATTCTGCTGGAGGAGTGCGCACACGACAAGGGGCAGCTGCAGTGAGGGCCTTGCATGTGGCGCTGGGGTGTGTCTATGACAGCTGGTTTCTGGGTTCGGGCAGTAGCTCTACGGCCTGCCCGCCCATCTTGTTTACTGCTGCTCGAGATCGCAGGGCGGCATCTGGGATGTGTCTGCCGCACTCCCCAGGACCGGCAGCACACCGATGCACTGCAAAAAGAACCACTGCTCCTTCCCATTTGCGGACCATCCATCCGTCTGCCTGTTAAAATTGCCACAAGGCGGTTTGGGACCTTCGACTGGGGTCTCATTTCCATATTTGCCTCGCAGCCTTTTGGTTTTCTTTTTGGGTTCTGGCAGAATGTCGCTATGCCTCTTGGTTCCTAGATTGTATCACCTCAGTCCCAACAACTCTGGCAGCGTCCTGTTCGGCATCTGGGGGAGGTGCCACCACAGAAAGAATAAAGCACGGTGGAAACGCCGATGGCGAAGGCCAGGAGGATGATCCCCGCTTTATTTTGGTCATCAACAGATCACCGCACATCTCCCATCAATTGGCCTACTCGCCCCCACATGTGAAGGTGCATATGCTGCAGCGCAAACCTTGTTTACACTTCGATAGAACATTCGCATCATTCCACCTCGCATCTGCCAGCTAATCCGGATAACCATTGTGTAGTGCATTCGTCGCCGTGTTTGCAGCCAGCTACTCGGCCGTGGTGCCGGCGTCGTTCTTTGTGCAGGCCGCCAGGCCGTGGGGTGTGTCCGTCAGCTCCCTGTGGATGATTGCAGCGTACCTCATCGGCTACCTGAGCTTCATTCTGCCAGCGTCCCGGATTTCCGAGTATACCGGCCGCCTGGCGGCATTCTGGTTCGGTCTGATCATGTTCACTGTGTTTGCGGGCGTCGCGGGCCATGCCAGCACCGCGCGCACCTTTGATATTCTGCGCGCATTCCAGGGTGTCGGTGCCGGTTTCATGACGTCTATCAGCCATCTGGTGCTTGCCAGCAACACGTCGGCCAAGAGCCGCTCCATGTTCGTTGGCGGTTTGGTTGCCGCGCAGCTGTTCGGCGCTGGCTCCGCCCACATGATCGGCGGAGCCCTTGCTGCTGAGGGCAAGTTCCGCTGGGGAATCTACCTCGGAGCTCCTCTGATGGCCGCTCCGGCGCTGCTGTGCACGCCGGCGCTGATTGCTGACAAGAAGCCCACGCGCACTGAGACTGTGGCCAACCGCGTTATCCACTACGACTACATTGGCACATTCATCCTCATCGGCACCGTTGTGATGCTGACCCTGGGCACTGTGTTTGGTGGCAACGAGCATCCATGGGGCTCGGCTATGGTCATCTGCCTGCTTGTGTTTGGAGCCGTCGGCATTGCCGTGTTCCTGGTGTACGAGAAGCTTGTGGCCAAGCGCCCGCTGATGGACAACCAGTGGCTGCACGTGCGTAATCTGCAGATCTCGATCATCGGCATTCTGTTCATCTCGATGACTGTGTATGCGCTGGCTGTCTATGTCCCGATCATGTACATGACTGTGCGCCAGCTGCCGACCAACAAGGCTGGCCGCATGTCGGCGCCGTACTGGGGCACTAGCATGGGAACTGCGCTGCTGTCTGGTCTTGTTCTCCGCTACCAGCCCAAGGCCGCGCGCCCGCTGATCTGGGTCGGTCTCACCATCGGCACCATCTTCGCTGGCCTATACTACACCTTCACGGTTCATGAGGACATCACCAAGGAGCGCGCGTTCCTGGCTCTGGCTGGCGCCGGTGTCGGTCTTGCCTTCCCCGCCATCACCTACATTGCCCAGATCTGTGTTGCTGCTGACGAGGCTGGCTTCGCCGCCGTCATGGGCCACTTCCTGTCGATCATCGGCGGTATGCTTGGCCTGATCCTGTACCAGGCTGGGCTGAAGAGCCAGCTGATCAAGAACCTGCAGCCCATCTTCGTGGCCGATCCGCTGCTTTCGACGTTCAATGTGCCCAAGATGGACATTGCTGCGCTGGAGGTGGCTGCGCCCAACATGGTCGCGTTCGTGGCCAAGAAGAAGGCTGACCTCATTGCCGACCACATGATGCACTCGCTGCACATCACCTTCATCCTCTCGGTGCCGTTCCTGGGCGCCGCCCTGCTGATCACGCTGCTATACAAGCACCACCACGCCCAGCACTAATTATAATCTTGTCATTATCGTACATTCTCCTCTTTACTTGTCACAGTTAACTAATCTTCCCGACTTTTTTTCTCCACTCCTCCCCCTCCCGCCCATCCGTTGACATGCAGAGCATTCTCCCACCGCCCATCTTCCCCCTTCGCCCTTATCACGACCCGCTTTCTCTTTTCTGTGTTTAACGAAAATGACATTCGCCCCCACCTTGGCCCCTTCAGGAACACTATCTAGTAATTTAATCTTCAATCTGCGGGTATTTGTCATCTCGGCGAATAGAACGCCGAGCCCTCGGTGCGAATCTCCTCCCTAATAGCCAGCTGCAATCAGGTCCTGAGTCCATTGGCTCCTTGGGATGTGTCTGTTGTGGCAGGGGATCTGCTGGGTGCCGTCATCGATGTCCTGTTTTGAAAGGTTTGCCGTTCTCTGCAAGCTGGCGTGGAGGGAGTTTGTGGCAAGATCCAATCGACGGGTTTTAGGCATGTGCCTGAAACAGCGTATTAAGCTAGCATGCACACTATGAAGCGCTGCTGCAGTTGTTCCTTCGTCTGCGTCAAGCAAGGGCCGGCCGGTCCCCCACTGTTGAGGATTGCAAGTCACAAAAATAAAAGTTTTCATGCTCGGTTGACTTGATTCACGAGACAGGTATAAAAGACCAGGAAGCCCTGCCAGTATCCACCAGAACCCGCTAGCTGCTTTTTTTTTCTACCACCAGGCTCCATTGGTTTTCTCCTTGTTCCTGCATTAACTCAGCCTACATTCCCCATTCATTACAAAGCTCTCTAGCTCTGAGAAATACACTCGCCATGTCGCCGATTCCTTCCATCAAGAGCACATCGTCCTCGATCACCGTCCAGTTCTTCACGCAGTCTGTTGCTGAGCCGCAGATCAGCCGCCGCGTTATTGCCCGGAGCCACCAGCAGGCTGGAATTGGCGGATACAGGAACATCCACAAGCCGTCGCATATTGGCGGGCCCACGAGCCGGCGGTACCAGGACAGCGGGATGGGCAAGACTTGCCACAAGCACTAGCTTCTTTCCAGTGTTCTCTCTGTATCATTAAAAGTTCGAGTTTCCATCGTAGTGATCCAATTATTTTTTTTTTTGCAAGTCACAAAAGCGCCTACGTACTTTTCAGAGTGCTCGTAGTCAGTCAACTGATAGAAAGGTGCTGGTTTCTGCTGGTTGTTTGTTGCATTGGTTGCGGATTTCCATCTTGTAGCCCGAGCAGTTGTCCCCTGGATCGGAGTGCAATGTGGCGGAAGTGATAGCGAGCCAGATGTTGTGTCTGCGGCAAAAGGCCCGCAATAGCCAGGCTCCGGATTACATGGCACGGTATACCGGCGCGAGGTCCACCTCAAACAGCCATCCCCCACACGACCCCTTAGATAGGCAGCGATTACAGAAACACCATTCCGGCGCAGCGGATACAGCCCTTGATCAGGGGGTTTGCCGTTTGATTAGGGAGTGGTCGACTGGCCTCCATCTCCACATCAACCTCGCGTGGACCGTCCCTTCCTCGCCCCAAAATCCACCAGAGGTCTTGCTGCTGCCGTCTTATCGATCGGGAGACCGAATAGGCAACACTCCAGTAACAGCAGTGAACCGGCATGCAGTTGCGCTGTTCCGTGTAATAAACAGGTTGCTATTTCCAGCCACCTGGTGCTACCAAGACAAGGCAGCATTTGCCACAGAGAATGCTTGAGAAACCCACCATGACGAGGGACCGTGTCCCTTTAGAGGCGATAGTGACTGCTTCTGCGATCCATTGGCGGACCTCGCTCTGAAACATGGTCGCAAGATGCAGGAAAGCCGTGTCAAAAGGAGACTGCGTCAAACCTCGAGTCTCCTCAGGAATCCTCCAACAAGGGGACGGCGTCTAGATATAAAAGGGAGCAGGTGTGGGATGCTCTGACCTTCCTGGCCATCCCACTCATTTCTGTCACATCAATACCACTGTTTACAGGTATAAACATAATCCTACTGATAATGTCGACTACGACCGCTCCCATTGTTATTCCTTCGTCCGACTCTGTCCACTCAGTGCCATCTTCTAGTCTTGTGATCCGCTACACCACGCCCCAGCCCATGCCATCCTCCCACCGCCGCAGCAGCAGCAACATCGTCATGCCCACTGTGCGCAGTGCCGGCATCGGCGGCTACAAGAACGTCCAAATTGACTCCATGATTGGTGGACACATCCGCGAACGCCGCGATTCCGGTATGGGCAAGCTCTGCATGCCGCGCCAGTCGCCTAGGTCTGAGCGTCGGTTCTCTTTCAAGCGCGTCATGTCGTTCAGCAAGCTGAGCCGGGCGTCGGCTTCCGAAACCAACTAAAAAAACTTGTAATTCTGTACTAATAAATCGCGCTTTCTATTTCCTTGGTATCCGCCGCTTGCCCTTGCTCTTGGCTGGCGCCTCGGCCACGCCCACCACCGATGCGCCCTGCAGCGAGCTGCCCGATGCGCTGATTTTCTCCTGCGCAGACACAAAAAACTGCAGATCCCGCACCTGCTCCTTCAGGTCATCCATGCTGTGGTTCATCTGCGCGATAGTCTCGTTGAGCTTCGCCTGGTTGGCCATCAGATGCTGCGACAGCGCCTTTTCTTCGGCCAGC